CCATATAATAAGAACATTTATTTATAATAATAAAATAAATAAATTTAGTCCTACTAAAAAGTAACTAAACTCATATAATGGTGGAAAATTTATTATTATACTCCAATTCTATTTTATATTTATTCCAAATAATTCATAAAAAAACTCTTAAAGTCAAATATGTAAGAGATTATCGTTTTACTAAATTTTTTTTTTTTACGTAATAGTATTTTTGTTTTTAAAAAGATATATCGGAAGTTAGAGATCTCCTATCATTCGATTGTTATAGATTTATTAAAATATTCGGTGCGACATAAATCATATAACTGTCGAAATTGAAATCTTAATACTCGTATAGAGAATCAGTAAGACTGAAAATATTTAAGAAGTAACCATTTTAAATGATTTAAAGTTTATCGGTAATTCTTTTAATAAAAATTAATTATTTTTTTTATTAGTAATTTAACTTTTTTTTATTAAAAAAATAAGATTTTTTATTTTAAATTATTACATCGATTTATAATGAATAGATAGATACTGAAATCTAATCTTGTGGCTCGTAATTTGGTTAAATATGTAACGGCCCCGGAAATATTAAAATGAAATGAGTATTTAAATATATCAAATGCGGAAGCGAGATCAAAATTTCAGTTAACATCCCTTACACGAAAAACAAAAAACGTACTTAAAATATAAAAGATTAAACTAACTAAGAGAGAAACTCGAAAATAAAACAATGAGTATGACTACAGAGTCTCTAGGTATCCCCTTCGTCGTCCTCCTGCGGAACGGGCTCGGGAACCATGTCTTCCTGATCTGAAATGGTTAAATAAGGAGTGAGCTACACTAGCCCAGTAAGAACATCACGATATCTCACCGTCACGGAGGTAAAGGTGGGTAGAAAACACAAAAAGACCAATGGAGCATAATTTACAATAAACTCGTTTATTAACATGAAAACCTTTACCATCCACTTACCTCGGTGGAATTTATGAAAACAATATAAGAAAAATAATAACATTATCACAATCATGGAATAATATAAGCTGTAAAACATAGCACTTATCACGCCTTTTGTAATTCAATCATTATACAACATATTCTATTCTCATTTACCAGCCTACTAGTATCCATGGGGGTCCCTAGGGGTCCCGCTACCCGTTAACCTTTAACATTCATAATCAGTTTCCAGGGCCGTCCCCATACCCCGTCCGGTATGGGCGCCAAAACCATAAACCTCAATACCCCGTCCGGTATGAGGGTGAAACGGGCCGTCCCCATACCCCGTCCGGTATGGGCGCCAAAACCATAAGATCTCCATACCCCGTCCGGCATGTGAGACCACAATCCCGGTAGGGTTCCCTACGGACCCGGTCCGTCCACCATCTCCCAGGATATCTAGTCAGGCTGACCCCATCATACAATTATCAGTCTACACAATGTTTCATTTCCCTTTTCCTCAATAAGCATCATCAATTCACATTTAAACAAGCAAATTGTAATTCATGCCGAACAGACAACATACAGTATCAGTTCTTCAGTCATTCAACCCATAATTAATAAAACAGTAATATATGCATTCGAAACTATAAAATGAACACATCAAACCCCATAATGCATTTAAAGCTGTAAAACAGTGTAAAACAGGCCAAATAACAGTAAATCATCAATCACACTAGACTCGGGCTCCATTAGCAACCTTAAGCAATTTCACACATGCGTTAATTCAAGAAATACCGTTTTATCATTTTGAACTTTAATACCGTGATAGGAAATAGGGTGAGGGGTCCTTACTTGTTTTCGAGATCCGAATACGATTCACAGTGCGCCTGCAGGCCGTCCCTAATTTTCCCTGAATTTTTCCCGGGAAACTGAAACACACTAAGAGTACCTGCACGTGTTCCAAAAAATCCAAATTAGGCCCAGGGCCTCTTTCGGCCCAAATCGCAACTCCGGCACGGCGGCGAGTCGCCTCGGGTTGGCTGTTTTCGGCCGTTTTCGGCCGAATTCGGCCACGCTCGCATTGGTCCTTGTCAGAAAACAACCCTAGGGCCCTCGGGGGGCCAAAAAATCACGAAAAAACGGAGCTTACCGGCGGCGGCGCTCTCGGGTGCAGCGGCTCTCCGGC